AAAAAAAAAAATAGCTTAGTAAGTGCTGATAGTGTCCAGTCTAGGGTCTTTACATACATTCCCAGACAGAAAAAACAAGAATTTCAAGAATTTTGCACATGATTATTTATGAACTTCAATGTTTACCAAGACAAAGATAAAGAACTAAAACAGGAAACTCACTGGACTTCACTTTATTGCTTAACAAATCACCTACCTTAAACTTTTTCTGGTAAACCAGTTGATTGTTCTGTATAGAAAACCAGCGCCTAAATAAAAAGAAGATAGGTTAAAATTTTCACCAACATAGGTTATTTCTGTTGTTGGTAGAAATGAAATATTTTGGAAATCACTGGAAACCAGTTTGGGGTAATTATATTTTGAGAGTGTACTGTTTTGTTTTTGTAAACTGAGAGCAATATGGGGAAACTATAGAAAATAAGAACACACATCTTAAAATCATAGATTAGGAAAATAAATTTACTATGCTTTGATTCATTTTATGTCACAACTTTATATCTTAATGAAAGCTATTTTTATGCTAAGACCTAATAAGTTTTTTTTTTTAAGTCCAAAGTTATATAGTTTTTTTTTAGGTACCTCAAAATAACTAAAATCTTTCCCCTAAAATATCTAATTTTATAGACAGTTAAAGAAAACTTACACTGTGAACAAAAATATCCATTTATATACAATAGAGCATTAAGATAAATGGTGCTTGTAAACCTTTCAGGAGATAATTCATCAAGTTGAATTTGATAAGCAAAATAGAAGCTCACTGCTTTAGAACTGGCATCAAAGAGAAGAGAATCACTTATTGGCCTTATTTCACAGAAAATATTTCTAAGGCAAATGAAGTTATTACCACATATGGTTCCCAACTATTTATATGGTTCTCCTCATTACTATAAATTATTAGGAATACAATTTATTTGCAATCTTCTTTAGAAAAAAGGGTAAGCCATGTAAGCCATATTTGCCAATTCTAATTTGTTAAAACAATAAAAAGATCTAAAAACATAAAAAATCACAGTCAAAAGCCATTCATAAAAGGAAGCAAAACTTCTCATCAAGCATGAAAAGTAAAATAGTATTTGAGCTGTTATTTTTAAATTAGTTTCATTCACATGAGATGGTTTTTACTATGAACGTTAGTTATTAATCTATTAGCAGATAGAGATTCTACCTTTTCATTGATATTAATACAAATGACTAGAAATTGTATTTACACATTTGAATTTCTATCTTTAATTTTAAGTTATTTCTCCACAGCTGAGAAAAAGATTAGGAGACGCTTTTGTATTTTTTAAGCCTTTTACTCGGTAGTTAGGTTTTCTTGCCACTTAAAAACATAACACCTTTTATATTGAAAGAGAAATTTGTTAAATAAGCATCTATATAAAACGATATGGGGTGCGTCTAAATGCAAATCAAGTCAGACCAGAAAAGGAAGAACTTCCAAGGGTCTTTGTTTGGCAACAGGTAGCTGGTTAGAAATGTTAGAAGAAACCCCTACACATAAACCAAATGGTGCAGCCCTGCCACATGGGATGACATGCAATGGAAACAATCTCTGATACTGATTAAAGCGGTTTTTAAAACCATTTGAAGGGAAGTGGGCTAGATTAATAAAATTTTATAGATTGCATATTATAGTAATTATCTTACAGAGTTTTAGAAAAGCTATAGTTTTACAGAACAATGGAAAGACATTGATATATCAATGTAAACTCTTCATGCTTCTGAGGACCTCAAACAAAAATTTCTTTTGACCTACTTGTCTTAGAACAGTAGTTCCTAGAAATAATAATAAAATACCAGGTAAAAATCCAGATGCTGCTTTGCCAGAGACCATTCCCTTAGGCTATCAGCCTTATGGATCATATGTATTTCTGAAACTGAGTCTCTTTAAATTCATCTGCTTCTGGGTGGCACCTGTACATCAGTTTTTTATACACTTAGGAAAGACAATATAAATTCATTTTAATGTGATGACTCCTTAAAGAAAAAAATCATATATGTCATAGGTAGAAAAAAATGAATTACAAAGATTTGTTTGTCTGATACAATCTTCCCTCTACTACCATTAAAAATAAACATCTAACACCAACCGGAACTTTAGCCAGGTAAATAAGATGGAATATAGTTGGTTTTTCTAAGAGGGTATGTGGGCAGGTGCCACATGTGTGCATATGCATGTGTGCACATGCATGTGAAGGCCAGAGGACAACCCTGGGTGTCACCCTTAGGAACACTGTCCAACTTCTTTGAGACAAGATGTCTCATGCTCAAACTAGGCTAGACTGGCTTGCCAGTGAGCCCCAGGCACCTATCTACCTATCTCCCCAGCACTGGGATTACAAGCATGCATCTCTACATCTGGCATTTTCATATGGGTTCTAGGGATTCAAACTCAGGAATGCCTACTTGCATGGCAAGTACTTTCCTTACTGAGCCATCTCCGCAAGCACTGGAATATAGTTTTTAAAACAATCCTACTGATTATTAACATTTCTAAGAAAGTAAAAATGAGATGAATACCAAATAAAAGATAAATAAAAAATAAATAGATAAATAAATAAATGGTCTATGTCTATGGGTTATATACACACCCACACACAAAAAAAAAATTAAAAAAAATTTGGTGCCTGAAATTTTGGAATGCTACAAAAAACAGTAACTAGATCCAAAGAGACAAATGAGACAAATTTTGGAAAGCAATTATGCTTTCTACAGCATAAATAGAGCACAAAGCCAGAGTATAAGACAATGTCTAAGAAGGAAAAATTCCCATGCCTTGAGAAAAATAAGACACAGTATTGTATCTATGCTAAATTGAAGAAATTTGGTTTACTTTAGACCACCATATTTAACTTATTAAGAAGGTTAATATTACATACCAATGAGAATTTCAAATGACAAAATGTGGGTCAAGAAAATATGTATTTATAAAAATATCTTTTACTAGGTTTGATCTTAAGATCAAGAGCATGGGTAAAAGTCAACTTGCAAGCCTGGAGAAGCTTTATCTCTCAAACTATATAAATTATGGGTTCATATCACATTCAGTTGCCAAATATATAAACACTTAATAAGATAAAAAGCCTGAATATATACACTCCTTTATTTGAAATTCGATTTGTTTTTCTCACAGGAAGTGGTCAAACAAAAAAACCCTACGAAACTGACAATGTGTTCTTTCAACATAACACAGTTGTTATCAAAGCAACTAATCTTAGCTACTGCTCAAATTTTTAGGAATTTGCTAGTTTATTTCTTTCATAAAAAATAAAAAGTCATAAAAGTATCCATATTACTCAATTTGTATCTAGTTTGGATAATTATAAGTACATGAAATGTTCTTCTAGAGATTGAAATAAATTAAGGTTATGGTTAATTAAAAGGTACAATTCTACTTCTTGAATAAAAAGCTTATGTTTTCTTTCTGATTTAGAATATAGAGACTTTTTATCCATTGCAAGTAATCCGACTGAAATGCGGGTTAATTATGAGCTTTTTCGTGCTAAAGAGGAAACTGGAATAAAAGAAGGATGAAGAGCAGGAAGCTGTTTGGTACCTGATATGATCGGGCTTTTTCCTGTCATGTGAAAAAATGGGGCAGGGTTAAAACAAAAGGGAAAGGAAGTAAAAGAATGAAAATGCAAATGCGCAAAATAAGCCAAGGACTAGCATGATACAAAAATAAAGCAAGAATTAAAGAAATAAGCTTAAGCTAATAACATAACCAAACAGTCAAAAGTATCTGCTGAGTTTTATTTATGTATTATAAATATATGCATGTTGTAGCATTTCAACTCTTAAGAATCTGAAATGAAAATTTTCAAAAACTTGCTTTAAGTATTATGTTCTACCTCTTTTATTATTTTCTGCCTATTTGGTCATGACTAGAAAATATATAGTACCTTGCCACACTTTAATAAGCTGTTCCTAAAAATTAAGGAAAAAAATCACCACGGTGAATCTGCAAAAACCTTGACCATATAAAAACTTTTTGGAAGGAAAGTGGGGTCACTAACTAAGAATTTCAAACATCATAGAATATTGGCCAAATAAACCTCACACCTGCCCACCCCTATTTTCATTACATGATAGCAGAGACTTTAAGGCCACATGTAAGTGTTTTCTTTTTTTTTTTTTTTAGGGGAGGTTATAGAGGAGCTGTGACAAGGCCTGGCTATGTAGCCCAGTTTGGCCTTGAATTCACAATTCTCCAGCCTCCACTTCCCAGGTGCTGGGATCACAGGTACATACTGTGCCCAGCCAATTCATCCTGAATCTACATATATACTTCTTTCTTTAAAACAAAAAGTCAATAAAAACATTTTTAGCAGTATGCAGAGCATTTTGCTTTAAACGTTTGTATAATGAATACATTTTATGCATCTGGTCATATTTTCTAGTTCAACAAAAGAATCTGTTTAGTAACCTTTCCAAGTTATTGCTAAATTATGTTAACACGTTCTTTTCCTTGCTCTTCATCTTTTCTAAATTCATTACAAGAAGCAAAACAAAAATACAGGTTCCAGTGGCGTAAGTCTGAATTGAAACGGCCATACTTAGAAAATTACCTAATAAGGAAAATTTATCATGACAAACCTTATATGTACCTTAAGAAAAATAAAGTAGTCTCTTCATATCAGTGTGGCAATTGGTTCTAGGACCCACCCATTTATATAAAATCCACAGATGCTCAAATTCTCTAAAATAAAATATTATAGTGTTTACACATAACCTTAACGTGTGTGCTTGTGTGTGTGCATCCTTTTTTAACAGAGAGAGTCTTAATCATGTTGCCCTATTTTGACTCAGGTCATTTCATGCCTGAGCCCCTTGAGTAGCTGGGATTATAAACCTGCATCTTGCTCAATCATCCCCAGATCACTTGTAATTCCAATGATAATGCACATGCTGTATAAACATTTATTAAACTGTATTGTTTAAAGAATAATTACCAGGAAAAAAGCTCCAAGTACAAACTTGGTTTTTTTTTTTTTTTTGCCCCAATATTTTTGATCCGGATTTGGTTGAATCCACAAATGTGAAATCATGAATACAGAGGGCTAATTAATTACAGATTTACATAACTTTGAGATGACACAAATAAGAAATCTGGGACCAAGCAGAAGTAAGATTCATACTCTATGTAGTATGTAAACTTTCCATTCTGATGCCATTTGGCTCACATCACACAAAATATAATTACCATGCTATATTTCATATCACTAAAAGCTGCTGTAAAACAGAATTGCAATTTTGAAGCATGGGATGAAATTTTTACATATTTGGGAATTCCTAGTCATATTCACACATCCCTCATGTTGAAAATATTACATGCCATAATTTCATAAAACTATAGATAAGAGTAAATAGTTTGTTGTTATAAATTGGTACCTTATGGTAACGAAACATTAAAAAACAATCCCTAAAACCAACCAAACAATATTTTTAAAAATATGTAGGCAGCAGGTAGGGAAAACTTTAAATCTGAATAGCTGAATTCCTATTAGTTTGTAATATGACAAATACACATTTTTAGCCAAAGATCAGTAGACTATATTGGATTAAGCTAAACGGAAAATTAGAACAGACTCTAAGTCAAACACAGATAAAAGAAAATTATTTGTACTTCTTGAGATTAGATTTTCTTCATAAACCTCATTTAAGAAACTTAAATACATTTGAAAATTTTATTATTAAGAACCCAAGAAAAACTCTTAATGACATTTCATGGATCAGTGTTCTTTCTTCTTCCATCTCTGTTATTCCATTCTGTTACACTTTACATAGGATTGCCCCCCACCCCCAAAGGTTTATGCATTAGACCTGTTCAAAGTGGCAGTGTTGGGTGGCAGAATCTTTTTAAGAGGTGGGGCCTTGTGTTGGGTAACTATACCACTGAGGACATTACCTATGTAAGGGATTAATGATTGTCTCTTGAGGAAAGCTGGCTGTTACAAAAAGAGAAGACAGGCCTCTTCTGCTCTCTGGCTTCCTGTCTCAACAAAAGATTTCTGTTGCACAGTTCTGCCACTGTGGTACAATCCACCACTGGACCCCACACCAGAAGCTCCATTGGAGCCAACCATCTTTAATTTCCAAATTACAAAAGTATGAGAAAAAATAAACCTATTCCATTTCAGTCCTGAAATGCTCTATTTCCTTACTGAAAATTAGGGTGAACTATAATCTACAATTCTGATAATTAACAGTCACCACCCTTAAAAAACAGCTTAATTTCCTAAGGAATTTTCTTCATTTTGTAAATGACAGCATGTGTACAACGGAGGATTTTCCAGTTACTTTCTATTTGATTTGATTTTTTGTTTAGTATCAATGCCAGTTAATACAATTCAAAAAAAAAAAGAAATTAAAAACTAAAATATCCATATTTAAATTAATGTTAATTTTATTCTACCTAAACAGCAATGCAATTCTCCACTAAGACTTACTGTGCTTCATTCTGATGTCTGAGGTGATATTGCTCACAGAAGTGGTCCAAGGAAGTTCACTGCTTTTCTTCTTAACTTAATGGAATGTTTCTATGGATTTACTGTATTTTTATTTTCTTAAACTTTAAGGACAGAGTTTTTAAATCTAAAGGTTAAATTTCAATTCTAACATTATATTATAAAACTATATTGGTTAAATGATCTTAATTCATTATATAAATTCGATATGCACCCATTTCTTAAAATTTCTTATACTAGCTACAGAATTTGCCAAGATAGGCTTAAAGGGTTATTTTAATTTTTATCTATAAAACATAATCTTAATTTTTCATTTTCACTTTATGATAACCAGAAACATCTTTAACTAGATCACTAGAGTTGGTCTTTCAATATTCATGTCTGATTTTAAAGTTCCACATAATTCATAGACTTAATATCAAATATCATTATTCTTTCCTTAGCTAAAGAAAAATTACTTCAAATGAAACAATGTACCATTTAGACTTCCCACAACATCAACTACTAGAGAAAAGCTCAATAAATTACTAACACTTGAAAATGTCAATTAATGTTTTTTAACTTCAACACCAAGAAATCAAAATAAGTGCACTCAGAGCTCATCTCAATAAAGCATCAAGGGGCTGGAGAGATGGCTCAGCGATTACTGCTCTTGCAGAAGACCCGAGTTTGATTCCCAGCACCCACATGACAGCTAACAACCGTCCATAACTCCAGTTTCAGGGGATCTGATGCTGTCTTCTGACCTCCATGGGCACTGCATAACACAGGTGCACTTACATTTGCATGCAGGCAATACACTCATACACATAAAATAAAAATAATAAAGCATCAAATGTTCTCATTTAAATTAACAAAATCAACACTAAATGAACTTATAGAGAAAATTCCACTTATTTCACTAATGCCCATTATTAAGAAACAAACATCTGCCATTAGGTGACTTCACAGCATGCTCATAACAGTATTAATAGAAGACATTACAAGAAATAATGCAACAGCAAACCAACTAACTAGAACCTGAATACTGTGGTCAATTATTACAAAATTGTCCTTTTTTTGCTTAAAAAAAGGTACCTTGAATAAAAGATTAATCACTAATATTCAGAAGTTTGATCCTGAGCCAAGCAACCGTTCAGTATTATTATGTATGAAATTATTTCACCTTATTTCATTAATACAGTAAAATATTTTATACATTTTTGTTTGTTTTCAATTTTCTAATTTTTGAGATAGGATCTTGTTATGTAACCCAAGCTGGCCTGGAACTCACAATCCTCCTGCCTTAGCCTCCTGACTGATGGGATTACACGTGCCTCCCACAACACCTGGCTATAATTCCATTCTTAATTATTTAGAAAAATTAGAAGTTTTTGCTAGGCATCACATTCAGAGTAAAGAAAGAACAGCTATCTGTCACAACATGCCCTATTTTTAAAACATTACAGTTCTTTAACCTCCTAATTACTAAAAAGACATAAATCACCTGGGTTTAAAACCCACAAGTAAACCCTAAGTATAAAATGTACTATGATGATCTAGTCAACACAGACTAAGCATTATAAAATTCTCATGGTTTCCTCCTTTAAAAGTTGCTTAAGTTTTAGATTTAAGAATTTATGCTTTCACTTTTCATCTGCTAAGCTCTTTTCTTTATTGGACTGGATTCAAGAATGTTACTATGGAATTTATAGAATTTAGAAATTTATGGGGGGGAGGGGCCAGGTCAAAAGGAAAGTCAGAAAATGGCAAAGCATTAGCATCAAGATAGTATTTGAAGCCCATTACCTGTTCCAGGTTTTGAAGGCATTGCTGGCTCGTTTGAACAGGTAGCCCTCCATGACAATGCCATTTGCAGCATCAACATTATACTCTAACTTAGAATCGTCACTGGAGAAATCCTAGACAAAATAATACACAAAGTTCAGATGACTTCACTATATCCCCCAGAAAAAGAAATTTATCTAGGGAAAGAAATTTAAAAAAAAATTTTTTTTAAAAAAGGGCTTTGCATTAAGACTTATGACCACATTCCAGTGAAAGGCCCCACACCCAAAAGTACATAGATAGCACAAATGGAATCAATGGGTTATTGAATTAAAAAAAGAAAGAGGACATAAAGTTGGGGAGGGAGGGAAGTGGGGGTGGCTCCGAGGAGGTAAGAGGAGGAGTTGGGGATGAAAATGACCAAAATACACTGTATGAAATTCTCAAAGAAAATAAAAATACTTATAAAAGACTTAGAATAATATTCATAAGAATGGGGAGGGGGACCTAGGCACTCAATAATTAAGAACACTTCAACATACTAAAGTATGTGGACTCAGAATAGCTATGATAATGACAGTGTAAAACATAATTATATATAACATACTGCAAAAGAGAAAGAAAACTATATAAATTCTGGTGTAAAACACATAATTATCATACTGCAAAAAAGAAAACTATATAAATTCTGTTAAAAGCATAAATAATACGCATGTAAATAGGCAAAGAAAAAGAAGTAATATTACACGAAACACTGTTTAAAATGAAATATTACACGAAACACTGTTTAAAATGCTTCCAGTGTATCCCAGTGTTTTATGGTGCTAAGTGCTAATTTTGAAGACATACGAATATATTTGAGGTTATTTTAATCTAGCACTATTTTCTAAATATATTACTATCAAGATAAATTTATAATCTGATAAGAATAATAATTTTCTATTTGGGAAGTTCATAAATGAGATAAAAACACTATAGAATTTTTCCCATAAAAGATAATTTTGTTTTGCAAAGAAAAGGGACTTTAGGAGCAAAGTTTAAAATGGGCATGTTGACATCACTTTCCATAAGCACTAGAATTACTCATGGTATTTTAGTCTATCAAATCATCTATGTGAATGCAAATGCAATTCAAACTTCTAATTTTCCTCCAAATCATTACAAATTTAAACAAAATATCAGGAGTCCAACACTTTAAATTGTTTTTTAACCAACTCTCAAAGTATATTGAACAAAACAACAAAATAGATGGTAGCACAGAAAATTTCAGAATGAAAAAAATCTGTTTCCGAGCTTTCAAATTTACTCCTGCACCAATGATTAAAATCAGAATTCTTTTTTTAAGATTTATTTAATGTGCATATGTTTGTCTCTGTATGTATACATGTGAGCAGGTGCTCACAGAGGCTAGAAGAGTGCACTGGACCCCTCAGGAGCCAGAGTTACAGGTGGTTGTGAGCTGTCCAATGTGGGTGCTATGAACCAAACTACAGTCCTCTTGCAAGGGCAGCACATGTTCTTGGTAGCTGAGTGTCCTAGTTTGTTTCTCCATTGGTGTAACAAAATACTCTGACCAATACCAACTTGGGAAGGAAAGGGTTTATTAGGCTTACATATCCCGGGTCGCAGTTCATCTGGGAGCCCAACGTAGGAACTCAGGGCAGGAACCTGGAGTCAGGAGCTGGAGCACAGGCCACAGAGGAAAGCTGCTTACTGGCTTGTTTCCCTGGTCCATGCTCAGCCTGCTTTGTTATGCAACACAGGCCCACCTGCCCAGGGGTGGTACCATCCACAGTGGGCTGGGACCACATCACACAACAAGCAAGAAGATGCCTCACAGACATGGCCACAGGCCAGTTCAATGGAGGCAATTCCCCAATTGAGGCTCCTTCAACCCAGGTGCGTCAAGTTGACACTAAAGCTATCTAGCACACTGAGTCATCTCTCCAGCCCCTGAAGTCAGAATTCTACCTATCTTTCTTTTAATTCAATTTTTGTGTATTTCATACAGAACACTTTTTTTTTTGTCTTTTTTAGCCCCAGCTGGCCTGGAACTCACAATGTAGACCAGGCTGGCCTTGAACTCTCAGAGATCCACCTGCCTCTGCCTCCCTAGTGCTGGGATTAAAGTCATACGCCACCTCGCCCAGCCATACAGGACATCTCAATCAACTTTATACCCCCTTCTCCACTGGCACCCAACCATAGCCCCCACACACACTGGAATTCATGCATTCTGTCATTTTTGTTAAGGCCTATCATGTCAAGTTAGTGCCCCCAGACATCCCTCAGAAGAAGTTCATTCACTGAGGCCTAGTCAGTCTATCTAGAGTCCCTCCTTTAATATCAGCTCTCCTCGCCCAGCAGTGATCAGCTAACAATAATTCATTGAATAAGATTGGGACCTGTTGTCCATTTTCACAAGTTCTGTGCTGGGTTTTTGTCTGCTTGAGTTTGCCTGGATCTTGTACATGCTGATACCATTGCTGTAGGTTCATACGAGAAGGGTCCCAGGAGTCTGTAGGACTCTATTTCCCTATGGTCATGCACCATCTCCCTGGCTCTTACAATCTTTCCACCCCCTCTTCTAAGCCCTGGGTGGGTGGATTTTAATATAGGAGTCCTGTCCAAGGACTCCGTAGACTCTTATTCTCTACATTTTGGCCATTTGTGACCTTTTCTGTTCCCAGCCCTCTGTTGCATGAGGAAGCTTCATTGATGGGAATTGAAAAATGCATTAGTGTTCTCTTTCCCCTTTGTTCTATGTTCCGTGAGTCTTAGGTGTAGAGATTCCATTGTAGATGTGCCACTTAGGCTTGGGGAATTCACAGACAATCTCTGTATGTGACTAGTTGTGGATCTCTGTAATAATTTCTGTCTGTTGAAAAAAGAAGCTTCTGGGGCTGGAGAGATGGCTCAGCAGTTAAGAACACTGGTTGTTCCTGCAGAAGACCTGGGTTTGAATCCCAGCACCCACACAGCAGCTAACACCTGTCCATAACTCCAGTCCCAGGGGATCCGACAGCCTCTTCTGACCTCCATGGGCATTGCACGACACAGGTGCACTTACCTATATGCAGGCAATACAAGCATACACATAAAATAAAAATAATAAATAAAAGTTTTAAAAAAGAAAGCTTCTTTGATGGATGGTGACTGGGATACTTGTCTGTAAATTTAAGGATCCAAATTTTGCACATAGTAAGAAGTTATATTTGTCTAGAGATGTGACAGCCTTGGGGTTTTCTCTAAGATCTATGACATCTCCAGCTATGTGTAGAATTCGACCTATCTTGAGAATGACTGTCTCTTGAGAATGTTGAGCAGTGAGGAACCAGCTTTCTAGGATGGTGGTTTGAATGAGAATGTCCCCCAAAGGCTCCAAGAATTTGGACATTTTGTCTCCAGTTGGTGGCGCTGTTTTGCAAGGTTTTAGGATATGTGGCCATGCCAGAGGAAGCACCTCACTGGGTTTGAACATTAAAACTTGCCGGATTTCCAGTCATTCTCTGCTTCTTGTGCCTGCATAAAGATGTGATTGCTTGGCTTTCTGTTCCAGCCACCTGTCACGCCTCCCATCATTATGGACTCTTACCCCTTAAACCAAACTGTGAGCTCAAATAAACTCTTCCTTCTATAAGTTGCCTTGGTCACAGTGTACTATTACAGCAACAGAAAAGTACAGAATACAGAAAGGAAGTGTCTTAGTTTGTTTCTTCATTGCTGTGACAAAAATATTCTGACCAATACCAACCTGGGGAAGAAAAGGCCCACCTAGCCCACATCTCCCAGGTCACAGTTCATCAGGGAGCCAAAGGTAGAAACTCAGGGCAGGAACCTGGAGGCAGGAGCTAGAGCACAGACCATGGAGCAACGGCGCCTCCCACTGGCCTGATCTCCTGGCCCCTGCTCAGCCTGCTTTCTTATGCAACACAGGCCCACCTGCCCAGGGGTGGCACCACCCACGGTGGGCTGGGCCCTCCCACATCACTCAACAATCAAGAAGGTGCCCCATGGACACGGCCACAGGCCAATCCAATGAAGGAAATTCCCCAATTGAGGCTCCCTCAACCCAGGTGTGTCAAGCTGACACTAAAGCTATCCAGCACAGGAAGGTAGAGTGAGACTCACTCATGAGCTTTCCCAACATGAATCTGCTAAGATGTGAAAAGGAAATAGGTTGAATTCAAAATTTTTAAAAAACTTCCTGGTACCTTCTTTTCAAGTTTTAATCATAAAAAGTCAATATTTGCATTGATTATAAATGAATATTTCTTCCTACTTTTTCTCTAGAAAAAAATTAGAGAACATTAATTCCTTAAAGTTTCTATGTATATATATTTTTTAAATTTACATTGCTGTGTGTGCTTGTGTGTGTGTGTGTGTGCACAAGCACATGCACATACTAGACATTAAACTCAGTGCTTGATTCAAGCATGACAGACAAAGGCTTCAGCACAGAACTATGCCCCCAGCTGTCATTTGCAAACTGGATGAAGCCAGAAAGCGATATAACTGGCTTTTGTAATCTTTGTGTGTTGTACACATGTGTGTGTGTTTGTGTGCATGCATGTGTATGTGGAGCCCAGAGGCTGACATTAGGTATCTTCTTCTATTACTTATTTCTGAGACAGGGTCTTTCACTAAACCTGCAGCTCACCAATTTGGCAAGGCTATCTAACTACTAAGTTCCAGGGATCCTCCTGTTGCCACTTCAACACTCGTACTCCAGGTGCAGGTCACTGCACCCAGCTTTTTACATGGGTACTGGGTATCTGAATCCAGGCCCTCATGCTTACATAGGAGACACTTTACCACCAAGTCATGTCCCCAGCCCCAACCTTTGTTATATTTTTAAAGATTTCACGTGCTTTTTGTTCTGGTTTTTATTTTTACGTTATTCAATTCGTATATAATATACTGGGTTTCGTTAAGATATTTTCATGTGTATATCTCATGTACTTTCTATTAAAATAGATTCCACATATAAGAAAGAACATGATATTCATCTTTCTGATTCTGGTCTGCTTTGCTCTCCACTTCCATCCATTTTCCTGCAAATGACATCATTTCATTCTTCTTTATGGCTACATAAAACTCCACGTGAGATACATATCACATTTTCTTTAGCCATACATATGTTGATGAACACTGAGACTGGTTCCATATCTTGGCCATTGTAAATAGCAACAATAAACAGAAACAGATGGGCATCTCTGAAGTATGCACACTTAGATTCCTTCAGATGTATGCCCAGGAGTGGTACAGCTGTCTCATACAGAAGTTTTAGCTTCTTGGGAGAATAAAGGTCATTTATAGCATCTGAAGTTTTTTAATAATCCTGATGCTGGTGAAAACATGAAATAATGGGGCTAAGAGTACAGCTCAGCAGTAGCATGCTTGTCTTGCTTGTCTGTAACCCCAATATCAAAAACATAAATAATGTAATATAATAAAACATAAAATAAGATTCTCTTGAATGAGCAATGCATTACAAGTGTTTTTCTGTTTTTCAATACTTCACAAGATACACAAGTCTTCAATTTAATTACTACTAATGTTGCTTAATAAAGTATTCAAAATGTCACACATTGCAGTACTTAAAATGTAATTTATTTCATAATGTAAGCAATTAGTAATGCGAGATGAATTATATGCTGTTAGAATCTCTATGAATATCTTCATGATCCAACAAATTAGGACAAAAACTGGAAACCAAAGAAGTAGACAGGACAAGGACTCTGCTTTCCCCGAGAGGACATTATTTACCACAGCACCTGCCTAGCATACGTAACACCTGAAGTTCAAACTTCAACATTATTTAAAACAACAAAAAAGCAAAGATATAAACATAGAAAGTGCACACAGGAAAGATAATTATGATCTTCTGATGGAAAGGAATTACTGAACAAGTAACAAAAGCACCAAACATAAGTTTGACAAACTATAAACATAAAATGCAAATGTCCCCAAAGGGGCTAATGCTTATATCTAGACTCTATGAAGGTGTGATCATTAGTTAGGGAGCTTGGCAACAACAACAACAAGAGGAAGAGGAGGAAGAAGAGCAAGAGGAGCAAGAGGAAGAAGAAGAGGAAGAAGAGAAAAAGGAGAGGAAAAGAGGACATTTCATAAATAGGATATCCAAATGACCAACAGATAAGAGGATTTGAGTTTATTAGCCACTAGAGATGTATAAATTAAACCACAATGAGATGTCTGTATCTAGCCATCAAACTGGCAAAAAAACTAAAACTCTCACAATACAGTGAGGTGGTAGGGAGCAATGGGAATGCTCAGTGCTGCCTGCCAAGAATGAAAACTAACTCAGCAGTAGCCACTAATACCAAAAACATCCACACTCTCTGACACTGCAGCTCCACGCCATCAGGAATGCATGGACATAAAGGCATATGGATGATCACAGCATCACTGTTTCTTGCACTGATCAATGTTAATTCCTAAAATAGCTAAATTATTACATTAGAAATAGTTTTTCTTAAATTCTAATTGAGTGGATTTTTCTTTACCTGTAATGCAGCCTGTGTCAGCATTTAAGGGCAAAGAAAAGTATTCACAATGAGTAAAAATAGCATTATTAGCATTATGTTCTTTAAGGAAAACAGTTGTGTATTGCTTAAAGTTAAATAATCTGACTTAATAATTTGGCATTTTGAGACCTTCAGTATAATACTGAACTATGTACATGATGAGAAAGATATTTTAAAATATACAATATTTAACTAATAGTCACATATTTCCACAAACGCAATACCATTTTAATTTAAAAAATGATCAGTTCCACTTTTAGCAATAATTTATAGTAATGCTATTAAAATAAGCTATTCATCAAAACGTGCTGTATACCTTAAACATATACAACTTTTATCTGCCAATTAAAAAAAGAAAGAGCCAGGCAAGGTGGTACACACCTGTAATCCCAGCACTTGGGAGGCTGAGGCAGAAGGATCACAAGTTCAAGGCCTGTCTGAACTACAAAGCAAGATACTGTGGGGTGGAGGGGACAGGGGAGAGCGGGAGAGAGGGAAAAAGAAAACAGGTCACTCAACTACAGTTAAACTAAAGCCAGGCATGGTGGTATGCACCAGTAATCTCGGGCACACAGGAGGCAGAGCTGGGAGGATTTCGAGCTTGAGGCTAGGCTGGGAAATTCAGCAAGATCATGTTTCAACAACAACAAAAAGTTAGTCCACCTTTAAGCAAAAGAAAATATAAAGTCTCGTTTGACAATAACTAAGAAGTAATTAACTTAAAAATGGCTTGATAGAAAAATCTTTCTATTTCTCTTTGAGTACAAATAATCCATCAATTAGCTTTCCTTTGCGTTTACTACTGATTCTGGTTTGGTTTGGTTTGGTTTTCCATTAACATCCCTAACTCTTATTTTTAGATTACTCCACATAAAATATCATGGACTATATAAGATAAAATATTATTAGGCTGTTCTGAATATGTAGTGCCTGTCAGCTCTTTTACATGAAGAAATAAAAACTAGTTTAATATTGAATTCTCATTTTAAAAAACATTGGTCAAGGGGAGCTAGAGAGATGGCTCAGTGGTTAAGAGCACTGGCTACTCTTGCAGAGTAACCAGGTTCCATTCCCAGCACCCACATAGCAGCTAACAACCATCCAAAATTCCAGTTTCAAAGGAACTTAACCCCATCTTCTGACATTGCATGATATTGGTACACTTACACACATGCAGGCAATACACTCAAACTGTAAAATAATTAATAAATTTTTAAAAATTGATCTGCTAGGTTTTGGCAATTTAACAAACAATGGGAGTTGAGATGGGGAGAACTGAGCTTCTTGCGGGGGAGAGTTCTGGAGGGGGACAGCGGCTATGGGAAATCAGAAACACCATCACCAAGGTTCACGATGCTATGCTATCTCTCTGTCTCATATGCATGTATATACACTCAAAACCATTTGCAGGAGGTTGTTGGTACCTAAATGAAACCATAAATAATATTTAAATTTTCATTAAGTGCACCCTAGCTGATTAAGAGTAATCATAAACTGGTTCAAAAGCATGGTTTTCAAATGTTTTGATCTGAAGCATAATAAAATGCATACATTAACATTAAAAAAAAGTAGTTTACTTTTCACAAAAGAATTATCTGACCAAGCAACTGAAGAGATTTGTTGCAACACAATGGTATCTTGCAAAACTAACAATCCTACGAAATGGAAATTAATCTAACTTTCCCTTGTATACCTTTTGTTGAATAGTAGAATGTTTTTGTTCCATTTCTCTTTTCTCCTTTGCCGCATCCACAACCAGTCGATCCAACTAAAGGAAAGAAGAAAACTATAGACTTAAAATTCAAAGAAACAAAGGTAATGTTTAAACCATATTCCAAGTCATTTTACAGATAAACATAGTAATAAGTCACTTCATTTAAGTTTACCTAAAAACTCATTTTAGCTAACTTTCCAGCAGAAGTTCATATTTTTTTCTAGTATTAAATCTTTTTTGAAAAAGCCGTATCTTTAGGGAAAAGGTTTCCAAGAACAGTCCTGGTGTCATGCAGTATGTGTTCAATCCTTAGCAGTATGTGTTCAATCCTTAGCAGTATGTGTTCGATCCCTGAATAAGGACAATGACTCTAACTTAAGGTGTCTATGTACCCACTTAAGAAATTCTGGTAGCTAGTGTCAAAACAAAAGTTAAAAAAAAAAAGTTCCCCCCCCCACAAATAGCAAAAAGCAATACAGCTAAACTAAAGTAAGCAACATCCCCAAGTCCACATCAATATTTCCCACTACTCATCACACATCACGTTTTCCAGCTACCTTCCTTATACCATAAATCTAAAAAGTAGAATAAATAATTGGCCAAATAAAATACAGCTTTTTTAAAAAAGAGCAGTAAGTTCAAGACCAGCCTGGACAATACAGTGAGGCCCTTTCTGTGAAAGATTAAGCTAAATAAAATAATAAAAGAATATTAATCCCCTAGTTTCAACCTAGTAACTCAGTTACTAAAGAGTATCTTAACTGGCCACATGCAAACAGACCATTTTATCCACCATCCACTATGGAAAGTATGGTTTACTACATGATTTTCAAGGGTCTGCAAAATTATCTTACTTCTGAGGGGACTCATAAAATTCAAATCAATACATACCTAAAAACATGTCATTATTTCATCTAGTCAACTGCAATTCAATTCACATTGTTCGTCTAAGTTACACCTAATGTAAGATAGCAGGATATACAAAGTGCCTAGAACATAAGAGGGTCTTACTTAGCCTGGGCTCAATATCCTATTACATATTCCTACAACACCCTGACCCTCTCCTACAAGGTATAAAAAGCTGTTCCCAATACCTATTTTCTCCTCTTTCTTAACAATGGTAGCCACCCCCTCACACTACCAGATCTACTGGACCTACCAGATCACTTTCTGGCATCAAAGCTGTATTTCCACATTTCCTTGCAGTGAGTGACTAAGCATTGGCCATGAGGATGTACCCAGGGGGATGTGTACAATTTCCAGGAAATGTCCTTAAGGAGAGAGAATGTGTCTTTCTTTCCTGCTAGCTGGAGTTTGAGTACGAGAGCTAAGCCTGATTAGTCACTTCGAATCATGAGGCCAATGCAAACAATACAATAAGCCTAGGCCCTGTGAGAGAAATGGCCATAATATGTCCTTCTGACCTTCCATATAAGAAATTGAGTGTCCCCAAGGGCTCAGGGGCAAGTCAGTGGTCGAGTACATGCTAAGCATGCATGAGGAGGGCTTGATCCTTAGTACCACCAAAAACAAACAAACAAACAAAACAAAAAAAAAGAAAACAATAAAGAATCCACAAACATCTAAAGTGTCTGTGAAATGAAAATGTTCCTTGGAGCTTTATAACCCCAAGATACAAAATTTTCATTATCCAAACACCCAATATAATTTTTTGAAACGAAGAACAGCTATAACCTGAATAAAAAGCAAATTAAGACAATAATTCAATTATTAAAATATAAGAGGTTGGAAAATAAATTCAGTTATTTGTACTATAAAAACAGATACTTTGGGGCAAAGCGTAACGACAGGTCTCTAATCCTAGCACTTGCAAGACCCGGGCAAGTGGATCTATGTGAGACTGAGTCCAGCCTGGTCTATTAGTTTCAGGCTAACCAGGGAACACGTAGTTGGGGGAAGAGGGGAGCGGAACAGACACTTTTGTTTGCTAGTTTTTTTTGAGACAGGATGCCACCAAATACCTCACTATGGCCTCAAACGCCAGATCTGCCTGCCTCAGCCTCCCAAGTGCTAGGATTGTAAGTATGCACCAAAACTGTGAGAAGCTTCATTTTTAGTCTTTTCATACTTTCCACATACAATCTATTACATAAGAATTTTGGGGCAGATCTGGCTTTGGTGGGCTAGGACTGAGAACCTAGCAGACAGCCTGAGATGGTGGGTTTGGACCGCCATCGGGGTGTGCGGGGAGTGCGGGGTTAGGGAGTGCGGGGTTCTGGCCTCCAACTACCAGAGGGCCTGAGAACCCAGGGGAGAGCCTGACAGCCCCTGGATCCTGCCTCCACATAGTGGAGAGCTTCCCCTAATTGCCATACCATCCCCCTACCTGGGATTTTGTGAGGACCCTCCCAAGGCCCCAGGGCAGATCTGGCTTTGGTGGGCTAGGGCTGAAGTCCCAGTGGACAGCCTGAGAGGGTGGGTTCGGACCTCTATCCTCTATTGGGGGGTTGCTGCTCGGAGCTCAGCAGACTACCATGGAGTGCCAGGTTCTAGCCTCCGTCTGGCCTCCAACTACCAGAGGGCCTGAGAACCCAGGGAACAGCCTGACAACCCCCGGATCCTGCCTCCACATGGTGGTGAGCTTCCCCTAATTGCTATACCATCCATCTACCTGGGATTTTGTGAGGCCCCTGCCAAGGCCCCAGGGCAGATCTGCCTTTGGTAGGCTAAAGCTGGGATCTCAGCAGAGTCTGGCCTCCCTCTGGCCTCCCTCTGGCATAGGGTTGACAATGCACAAGACTGCCTGAAAGACCCTGGATCCTGCCTCCACCTGGTAAAGGAAGCCTGAGTGTACCTGACTGGAACCTGAATTGGACTTCTGTGGGTACCCCTGAATAGCTGATCTGAAGCCATCAGTTCCCTCCAAAATAAACCTGAGAGGACCTGAACCCTGTACCAACCAGCTTTACGTAACCAATAAAGAAAGGATCTAGGCACCCCAATAATACAAACAGAGGCATACTTCAACTTAATATCAGAATCATAAACAACAAAAGAAATTCACATGCCAAAACCACAACCACCAATCCTGTAGAAGAGTTCTACAAGGAGAACCCCCTAGAGATAACCCAGGACACTGAATTTAAAAGATCATAAACATGATCAAGGAATTCAACGAATTTAAAGGACACACGAACAAACAAATCAAACAGCTAAAAGAAGATAGGGATAAACTTCAGAACGAATTCACAAAAGAGATAGAATATTGAAGAAAACTCAGGCTGAAATGAAGAAGGAAGTGAAAGCCTCACCTCTAGAATGAATGAGATGGAAAACAGAATATCAACACTGGAGGATAAAGTTGAAGACCTGGATCACTCAAGAAAAGAGTATGGAAAATTTTTAAAAATACAGAAATGGAATATGCAAGAGATGTGGGACACAATGAAATGACCAAATCTACAGATCATACGAATAGAGGAAGAAGAATAATTTCAGGTTAATTGTACTGACCAGATCTTAAACAGGACTGTAGAAGAGAATTTCCTGAAATTAAGGAAAGACATCCCCATACAAATACAGGAAGCACATAGAACACCAAATAGACAGGGTCAGAAAAGAAACCTCCTACCACATATCATAGTAAAAACACTAAATGTACAGACCAAAGAGAGAATACTGAAAGCAGAAAAGGAAAACAAGTCACATACAAAGGAAAGCCCATCAGAATAGCAGCTGACTTACCAATGTAAACTATGAAAGCCAGAAGACCCTGGACCAAGGTATTTCCAATTCTACATGACAATAGATGCCACCCCGGAATACAATACCCAGAAAAAATGTCTGTGATAGTTGAAGGGAAAAGAAAAATCTTCCAGGACATGAATAGCCTGAAAGAATACATGTCCACAAAACCAGCCCTTCAAAGAATACTTGAAGCAATACAGAGAGCAGAGGGAGAAACAACTATACCTTGGGGCAATGAAAGAAAATAAAGATATAATTTAGGAAACACAAAATTACACAGAGACACAAACAGCAATCAAAATGAGGGCAATCAATACACACCTTTCAATAATAACCTTCAATATCAATGTACTAAACTCCTCAGTCAAAGGACACAGGCTAAGTGAATGGATTAAGAAACAAAATCCATCTCTTTGCTGTCTGCAAGAAACCCATCTCACCTTCAAGGACAGGCACTACCTTAAGGTAAAAGGATGGAAAAGAATATTACAAGCAAATGGCACTAAGAAACAAGCAGGGGTTGCAATTCTAATATCTGACAAAATAGACTTCAAAGTAAAACTAATCAGAAGAGATAAGGACGGTCACTTAATTCTGATCAAAGGAACAGTTAACCAAGAAGATATTACAATCCTTAACATATATGCATCAAATTCTGGTGCACCCAAATTCATAAAAACAATACTACAGGACTTTAAGACACAGATTAACCCCAACTCAGTAAAAATAGGGGACTTCAATATCCCACTGTCTCCATTAGACAAGTCAACTGGAAAAAGAATTAACATAGAGACATCTGAATTAAATGATACCATACATCAAATGGACCTAACAAACATCTTTTGATTATTCCACCCAAACCCCATAGAATACACTTTCTACTCAGCACCTCAAGGAACATTTTCAAACATTGATCACACACTGGGCCACAAAACAAACCTCAACAAATATAAAAATATTGAAACAATTCTATGCATTCTATTAGACCACAAAGCAATAAACCTCAAAATCAACACTAGACGAAACTCTAGTCACTACACAAACTCCTGGCGATTGAACAACACACTCCTAAACAATGAGTAGGTCAAAGAAGAAATTAAGAAAGAAGCCAGGTGTGGTGGCACACGCCTTTAATCCCAGCACTTGGGAGGCAGAGGCAGGCAGATCTCTTTGAGTTCAAGGCCAGCCTGGTCTACATAGTGAGCTCCAGGCCAGCTGGGGCTACTGGGAGACCCTGTCTCAAAAAAGAAGAAAGAAGAAAGAAGAAAGAAGAAAGAAGGAAGAAGAAGAAGAAGAAGAAGAAGAAGAAGAAGAAGAAGAAGAAGAAGAAGAAGAAGAAGAAGAAGAAGAAAGAAATAAAGGAATTCCTGGAATTCAAGGAAAAGGAAAAGGACAATACAACACAATACAACCTCTGGGACACATTAAAAGCAGTCCTAAGAGCAAAGTTTATAGCTCTAATTGGAGAAAGCGAAACACTCATTCACTGCCGGTGTGATTGGAAACTCACGCAGCCTCTATGCAAAGCAGTGTGGAGAACTCTTAAAAAAGAACCTACCATCTGACACAGTTATACCACTCCTTGGCATATACCCAATGGACTCGTCCTATTGTAGAGACACTTGTACAGCCATGCTTGTTGCTGCTCTTTTCACAATAGCTAAGAGATGGAAGCAACCTAAGTGTCCCTTAATTGATGAGTGGATAATGAAAATGTAGTTCATTTATATGATGGAGTTCATAACCAAAGACATTGAATAGCTCTACAATGAAAATTTAAATCTCTGAAGAAAGAGATTGAGAAAGACACTAGGAGATGGAAGGACCTCCTATGCTCATGGATTGGAAGAATTAATATTGATAAAATGACCATCCTACCAAAAGCAAAAGCAATATATAGATTCAATGCAATCCCAATCAAAATCCCCATGACATACTTCACAGAATTAGAAAAATGCATCCTTAAACTCATATGGAGTTACAAAAGACCCCAGATAGCCAAAGCAACCCTGAGCACAAAGAGCAAAGCTGGGGGATTACTATACCAGATCTCAAAGTATACTACAGAGCCACAGTCATAAAAACAGCATGGTACTGCCGCAAAAAAAAAGACACATAGATCAATGGAACATCATTGGAGATCCAAACCTGAGTACACGCAATTTCAGCCACCTGATATTTGACAAAGG